AAATTTGATCCTAGCGGCTCACAGTAACGGGGCCATTGCTTAGCCACTAAACCATGACTGTACGCAGCGGGGGCTAGGGTACGTCGCCGCCCCCATAATTACAAACCAAAAAAAAAAAATGCAATAGATTATCAATAATTCATTGCATTTTGCCCCGACTACTAACATAAAAAATTCTTCTATTTGGGCATGTCCTGAACCATAGTACAGGGCCCCAAAGAGGAGTTTTTTCCTGTTGGGGACCGGGGGAAAATGCAATTAATTGTTGTTGTCGTTTAAAACATGGACAATTTATAAATATTTTGCTTTCAATTTAAATTTAAATTTTAAAACATCTTCAGCAGGATATATTTAGGAACCAGTAACCATGGAAATGAATTCCAAGATTACACTGGAGAGCATCTTCAGATTAGATCCTGGAGCTGATCTAACTCAGAAGCAACGATCCGAGCTGTTTGAAGCGATGAAACCAAGATGTCTTATAAAAGCATTCCGAGATACTGGTTTCATTGGGCTCGGGTAAGGATACCATCTTACCCTTATGTTTGTATTACAAAACATATATTTTCTGTCTCATTTAGGCGAGGCGTCAAAAATAAATATACCAGCCAGCGGCAGCTAACTGCACTTGTGCGTCCTGGCTGCATTTTTTTAAATTAGCTCAGCCGGCTACCGATGGCGGTAGGAAATGGCATTCAAAAGCATGCGCCGGCTGCCGCCTTTCGAATAGAAACCGAGCCTCAGATCCCAGCCTGGCGCAAGCCGGCTGGGCTAATAAGTGAAAAATAATTGCCCCAGCCAGGCTTTGGCCGTAATTGCAGCCTCGATGCGCCAATACGTGAGGCGGCAGCCTGCTGGTGTCGATATTTTTGAAGCCTCGCCTTACTTTATATCCAACATTGCTCTGTGATTCACACATAACTATGCATCTTGGAATAATCAATTTAAAATAGTTTGTATTCCATACTGCATCATAATGTTAAAACAACTAATTTTCGGTAACATTCGACTGATCCTTAAATTCTATTTTTTTTTTTGCATCAGATGAACTTTTTGTTTCCATAACGTTGTGCTTGTATGAAAGTGTGATTATTTCTAATGGTTAAGTATTTTAACTTCTTATCAATGTTTTTTTTGGGGGTTTAAATCGAAGATGCTGTTTCATTCCCTTGTTCTTATGTATAAAATTATGAATAATCTAACCCCCGAGGATTTAAGAAATGAATTTGAGTTGAGAACCCATTCCTACCCTTCCCGAATTGGAGCTCAAATAAAATTACCCAAACCGAGAACAAATTACCTCAAAAGACCATTCAAGTATAGAAACGCAAAGGCCTACAACACACTTCCTCCTCATATCAAATCCTCCCCTTGTATTAATACATTCAAATCTAAGATTGCAGAACTGTTACAGTAGCACATGGTCCCCCCCCCCCTCCTTATTTTGTTATGATTACTTGTTTTTAATGATTTTTTTTTTTCCTTTATTTTATATTACTTTTTTTTTTCTTTTTCAAAATGTATTTACTGTTGTTCATATATGTATTTATGTTCTGTTTTGTTTATGTTATTGTTCCAGACCCCACGGAAGACCAGCTTTCCCATGTCGGGTTAGCTGAATGTGGGCTATCCACCGTATTTTATGCATTTTTACGATGTTTTTATACGGAAATAAATACTACTACAAACTACATGACCATTCGTACATTGTAAACCTTGCGCAATTATTCCCTGGACTACTACCCTGTATTTAAAATAAACCACATTGAAGTGAATTGAATGAGTTGATATACAGTGGCGGATCCAGGATTTTCCAATGGGTGGGAAGAGGGGTTTGTGGCACGGCACATGTAAACAAAGGGGATGTCACACTCTTTAAATGTACAGGAGTGGGATTGCACTCTTTCAGGAATCATGTTAGAAAAACCACTCTGAAGAGAGTAACGCAAATCACTCTTTAGAGCGGATTCCACTATAACTTGGAATTGATTCAAATCCAAAACGAAGTGATCTCTAATATTCTAAACTCCCGAGCTGATTTCTACTCCTCTACATTTTTATACAGCAAATTAAATGAGTTATTAGTCTTGAAATATATCAATTCTGACAAGGAAAAAAAAGGAAAAGGCATCAGGTTTGTTTTACTTGGAAGGGGAAGGAATGCCACATGGTCCCTCTGGAATCGTCATGACCTTTCACAAATTAACTGTGGAGGTGTCGTCGGTATAGTGGTTAATTCACAGCCAGGCACCAACATCTTTTGGCAAGACATTAATCTACATTTGACATCCTTCACCCAGGTGTAAGCACCTGTTAGTTGTTGGGGTAATACTATTTGCAGCGCCTTCAGGAAGAAAAGCATTGATGCTGATGAATCCTCCCTTGGTAATATTGTTATCGTGAAATATTTAAATCTGCCGTGGCATACAAAGTGTTGTGTACACCCAAGATAGGATTCATTTCGATGATATATATAAACGACATTGCATACTTGTTTTAGTTTAAAGTTATTCAGTTTTGTTTCTATATTCTCAAATGAATCATACACAGTAAACGTTAAGCTTATAGCCCCCGCATGACATTTAAGCGGCTTGTGCAAGAATGGGTGTGGTGGTGGGGGGAGGGGGGGGGGGGAGGGGTGGTAGATAGAGCCCAATTAGGGAGTGGAGGGTGAGAGGTTCACTCCGATTGAGAAGAAGAGAGAGAGAGATAGGAGTAAGAAAGAGAGAGAGAGAGAGAGAGGGGGGAAGAGAGAGAGGGGGATAAATGGCCTGCAGATGTTAAACGATTGCCATGAAGATCGAGACTCAAGTTATTACTCATAAATAATGAGAATTATTCTGAGCCGGGCGAAGCGAGGACCGAACATTCAATCTTTGGCCGTGTCGCTAATAGAAATGTCGCCCTCTTTCACTTGACGGTGGTGTATGGTTTGGAAGATAGAATACATGTTAACGGTTCCCACACCTAGATTCACCCAGGCAACCAGCATTGCACAATCGTTGATGATGGGGATTCCCAAACATGAAGAAGACAAAAAAACGCACATACGCATGCGCATTTCCCGTGTCTTTGAGAACAGACTCTATTTTCGACCCCACGCCAAACAGCTTGATAACGGGCTACATGTACAGACAAACCTATATGACATGTAATTGTATATAAGAATATATAAACAATAATTTATAACATTGTGTGTGGCAAAATAGTCAATTGTAAAAGAAAGAAGAAGCTGTGTCAAAAGCTTAGCTAAAATTCCAAGCCGTTCATATTTGGAAAACCAAACAAATCAACAAAATAGCGCACTTGTGAAAAATCAATGTTTGACGACTAGACTGCCTAAATGGCTATATAAAACCAAAACGAATTTTATCAAGACACCAAACTAAGGCCAAATAACATAAATAAGGTATTTCTTGGCCGGACTTAGAAAAAAAAAAAGGGGGGGGGTATTACTATTTACTATTTTGCTAAAAAAAATTGCAATTTTTTTAAAGAGATGGCTGCCAGCTCAATATAGCTGGACAAGCCTATTTATTCGCATATATTGTGCTAAGACGGTTAGTGTACTGGTTCAATGTATGACAAAACAAATGATGTGTATCACTTTAGAAGCTATTTAAACAAAATGTAAATCACAGGCTTTTTTTTTTCTTATTCTATTTCTTCTGAATAGTAAATAGTTTTTTAAAAAAAGAAGGCGGTATCCAAAGAGCAGGCGGACGTGGACGAAAAACACTTCATTTGTGTTGTTTGGCTTTATATTAAAGAGAATTAAACAACAAACCATAAATGAGTTTTAAGCATAATGTAATTGAAGAAAGACTGACAAATTATGTAATAAGTAACATTAATTATAACAACTATAATTGTGAGCTAGCGTAGCGAGCGAGTTCCAGGGAAAATTAAAGAAAAGGGGACTCTAAGTCGCTTTAAATGAGGGTTGCATGTTATGAAGAAAGTAAAAGTAGGCACTTGTCAGAAGGGAAAAGGACAGTTATTAGAAAAGAAAAGGTGTTGTCTCAAAGTAAAAAAGACGATTATCAGAGATGAAAATGAGGCCACTTCTTCTCTTGCACGCGAAAAGGGACAATGGGAAATGGGGCATCTGTTGAAGGAAGGGGCTCAAACAAAAAGGTAAATGGGCACGAATCCGAAGGAAATATGTTACTTATTAGAAGGGAAAAATTGCACTTGTTAAAAAGGAAAAGGGGCACGAGTCAAAGTAAAATAGGGCTACAAAATAATATTAAAGGTGAAAAGGGTGTATTTATCGCACCTGGAAAAAGGCACTCACCAGAAATGAAAAGGGGCACATATGAGAATGAAAAGTGGGCACTTATTCTAAAAGAAAATATTCAGATCTGAATAATGGCAATTTTTTTTTGGGGGGGCGGGGGTTATTGGGGTTGAAAAGGGGCATCTATAAAAAGGAAAAGGGCGCTTATCAGAATGGGAAGGGGGCAAGTATTACAAAGACAATGGGGCTCTTGTCAAAGTGAAATGTGTACCTGTCAGATTCGAATAGGGTAATTATCAGAGGTGGTACGGGGTACTTCTCGTACCCGTAATGGGGCACTTACCAGAAAGGAAAAGGGCACTTATGAGAATGGAAATGGAATGCTTATTGCAAAGGAAAAGGGGCACTAAACATAATTTAATAGCTATTTATCAGAGGTGATAGGGACATTTATGAGAAAGTGAAGGAATCTTATTAAAAAAATGGGTTGCACTTGTCAAAAGGGAAAGGACACTATAAGAAGGGTTTCCCCATTAGTCTCTTTTCGGTCGCTCATTGTCAAATAAACCGCTTAGAGGCAATTTGCAATTTGCAGTATACAAATATCTTATTATTATTATTATTATATGAATATCATTATCAGACACGAGGCCTTGTTTAAAGACTACCTCTAGCTATGCTTTTGACACATTTATTGTCTGAACCTGTAGCCTGTTTGGGCGTGTCTCATTAAAGGGTTCGAATATATAGAGTCTGCGGGTAAAGACTATTAACGACACAGAAAATGTGCATGCGTATAATTCTGTTCGTTATTTTTGGATAACTGGGATTCCCCATCGACAACAACACTATTGTGAAATGCAGGTTTGTCGTGCATTATCTATCGGGCAGATGTAGTAATACCTGTACATGTACTAGGCCTACAGTATATATAGTAGCTTTGTGTACCAGAAGCATTTTCACGCCATTTCTGGAAACGGATGGATCCGAAGTCTTTCTATCTGTAAATTGATCAAAAATGCCTGAAAATCTACATTAATATTGTGCATTCGTTATTTTTGTTCTCGCATCGATTCCTCATCACTGACTGTATCAGATCATGATCATGGAGACAATGCTATTTTGGGGCATCGTGCTTATTGGGTGTTTTTCATCATGCAGCGGATCAGTTTCAAGCACATCGAGATTTTGTGTGATAGAAAATCGTGTGGGGAGCAGTGGGGTTGGAAGCCAACGCCTGCTTGCCTTTAGATCAAATACTACAGCTTCTCCAGTTTCCGTGGAAGTGAGCTACGGAGATGTGGACACCTCCTCGGCCGGGTGGAGCTCGTGGAAGAATCTTGGAGCTCCGATGGCCAGTCCACCGGTGTCCAACCCTGTGTGTGAAATGACAGACCAAAATCAAACCCAGGTTTGTCTCTTTTATTACCTTTTCGGATTCCATTCATTGAATTATCATTTTCTATCATAAAGCAGTGGATGAAATAAGGGGGAGGGGAGGAGATCATAGAGCTCCTTCTCCTCCCCCATTATTCTCCTCCTCGTCTTTCTTTTGTGTCTTCTGCCCTCCTCCCTTTCCCTTTTTTTCTTTTTAATTGACATTGGATCTCTTTTTTCTTGAGAATTTATTTAGTGCTTATAAAAATCATTCACTTGGTGGATTTATTTTGTCCTATATCTTGTGGCTTAATGGATGAGTTTATTCATGATCACTGGCGTACTGGGGGGGGGGGGCTGCTGCCCCCATCAGTTTACCAAGCGACCGCCCCACCAATACAATTCAAATGTGGTTTATTTTCTAATTCAATACCAGTGACTTACAAATGTTGCTGAAATGACATGAATTTCCGGGTTTTTTCTCACTTTCGTGTAAATTATAGTTTTATATGCGTTTGGTTGGAAAATGACAATTTCCAAAATTCATGGTCAGGCAAAACCCCCCTCAAAAGTGCTCCTTTTTACAAAGAAAATGTGGCCCCTTTTACTTTAGATAAGCAACCCATTTTTTTTAAATTTCAAATAGGTGCCCATTCCACATTCTTATAAGTGCCCCTTTACATTTGGTAATTGCCCTATTCAATCAGGGAGGTGCCCATTTTACTTTAACAAGTGCCCTTTTTTATCTTTGAAGAGTGCCCCTTCTCAGCTCTGATAAGTACCCCCTTTTTATTTTGATAAATGCACTCCCCCCCCCCCCCCCTTTGTAATAAGAGCCACCTTCCCTTTTCATAAATTTATGCCCTTAATCACACCTCTAATTAATACCTCTATTAAAATCTCATAGGTGCCCCTTTTCCTATGACAAGAGCTACTTTTTCTTTGTAGTAAGTGCCCTTTTCTATTTTCACAAGTATCCCTATTCATCTCAGATGAGTGCCTGCCCCTTTTCAGGTACAAGAAGTGCCCCTTACCACCTCTTATTATTGCCTCTTTAAATCTGAGACGTTTCCCTTATACTCTAAAGTCTTGATCAGGTAATAAAATGCCCTCTTGCTATTATCATTCTAATGTAGATCTTTGTGCAAGCATCCGATGGGCAGGTCTACTCGGCGATTCAAGACACCCTCAATTTTTTGAACTTCTCCTCGTGGAAGAAGGTCGGTTCCAACTCCATCCCGGTCAGCTTACCCAATCGATCCACGCTCGTAGATTCCGTATCTGCAGTCTGGTATGGCAAGCAACTCATGGTTTTTGCTCGTTCGATCAGTACTTCTTCAAGGCTGTATTGGTGTAAAGGTATGTTCGTTGTAAACAGAGGATGGGTAACCTGATAATAAGGCCTTTAAACCAAATTGTTTTATTGCCCTTTAGGTGCCAGTCCCTGGGTATTTTGGTCGATTTAAAAAAAAAAAACCTATTTTGGCTGATATTTTTACAGTTTTTGATGCTTGAATACATATTTTGTTATTCATTAAACTTTTTTTTCTGCTGAAAAACGGTATACAAAAAACTTTAATAAAAAGCTGACTGTGAGATTTAAAGATTTAGGGGTCGGTCACAGAGGACAATACAACAATTTTCTAAAAGCTTAATGATGATAATGATGATGATGTCATAATGATGATATTGTATTACGGTTGTTATATTGCCCTTTCTATTTGTAACCAAGGGTAGCTACATCAATATTAATACTAATCTTCCTGCAGACCCTGCGATTGTCATTACGCCAGCATTGCCGGGAACACATTTACACCTGGCTGGAGAGTGGGAAATGTGGATTAATGTCTTGCCAAACAACATTAATACCGGGCTGAGATTCAAACCCTTAATCTATGGATTTAGAGTCAAGTGAATAAACCACAACACCCGATAGATCCCATCTATCAACACAAAAATAAGGCTAGGTGATTGAGCATTTGCTTGTGCAGCCCCAAAACTCTGAAATAACTTACGATTAGAAGTCAGGAAATCACCATCTGTGAATATCTTTAAATAAAAAATGAAAGCACACTTTTTCAATTAACTGTAAATCAAGCATATTAGGAGCTCTTGTAGCACAATAGAATACATACTTAATGTAACTGTGTCAAGTGAAAAATTTAAGGCGCCATTGATGCCCGCGGGATGATCATATTAGTACGGACGGCCATATTTTGTGCCGCGGCTCGCTTTATGTCGTTTCCTTCATTCACCGAAATCCCTTTCGTTTTGCATGCAGGGCTTGTGAGCCCTATTTACATGTAAGTCCCTTCAATTAACCCGATTCCAAATTCGTTTGACATTCGTCAAATTCATTTGACAGTTGATTCCGCTCGATTAATGCTATTGTTCGGATTATTAAGCAGAGAGAGATAAAAGTTGACATTCTCATGACTAACGACCTTGCGTTATTATTCTTGTTTGTTCATCGTCTCATTAATGCTATTGAACAATATTTAATGACACAAGACGGAACTCTGGTACTATTTTCATGAAGCGTCACATGGCAATAACATGGCAGATAAATAATCATCATTACTGGGTCTAATAATGTACACTAAACTGAAAATGAACCTGGGCCATTTTATATATACATTGTATATATCTCTCTCTCTTGACATTTCCTTCCTTTTCCCCTCGCTTACTTCCTTCTAATGCCTCTGTCACACCTTTCAGTATTTGGCTTGCGTATTGCTGCGAATTAATGGCAAGCTGTTTTAACGTTTATTCCTATTTCTTGATATCAAGAATTCATTTCTTGATATCAAGAAATAAGAATAAATGTTAAAGGCACTGTTTTTTTTAAAACTATGACCAAATAGCTTAATGACCCTTTGACGGCCTGAAACTTTACAAAGATAAAGAATTAGAAATAAGTTACAACTTTTTCTTGTAGCATGGACCTAGGTTAACCTCCCATAGCTTAACGAAAAAATGTCAGCATTGCTTTATGTGCATGAGGTATCCCTGAACAGCCAATTGTTTACGGAATTTTGTAACAAAATTGACATACCATTTTGGTTGGAGCCGAACTAAAAGGGTACATTTTCCGTAAACAATGGAGGCCCTCATTTAACCCACTAGAACAATCATTTAATGAGATTGTTTATGGTTTGAATAAGCTTATTAGTTACTCCAAGTCATTAAATTAAAAGAAAATATAATGTAATTGTAGTAGCGCATATATTATAAATATATTCAAAATTTGAAAAAGTTGTCTCATTTTCCGTAAACAATTTTGTAACTTCCGAAACAACTTTCAATTCGAAGTAGCAGAACATATATGAACTGCAGAACCTATCTTTCGTAACATTTCTTAAACATTTCATGGCGGCTACCCACCAAAAAAAAAGAAATTTGCAATTCATCATTACAATACTATTTTATAGTTAAAACCAATTTTCCGTTAACAGTTGTAACGTCCGAAACAAAAAATACAAAATAAATGATGATAATCCATATTTGAGGGTATCTGGAGTGAATAAATCATTATGAAATAAGTTATTATAAGTCTTAACACAAGTCAAAACACAAATCTCGTCTTTCAAATCCAAAAATGTTGTGTAAACTCAAGAAGGGTGTTTCGGACGTTACACTATTTGATTGTTAAAACATAGTTGGCAAATATCAACTAATTTTCTATCATATGTGCAAGTTACGATTTCACAATGCACACTCCTGTTAAAAACAGTATTTTGATAATTTCATTTAGATCTAAATATAAAAATATGAAGAAACATGATGCAAAAAATCAGATTTTCCGTAAAATATCTAAATTTTCTGCAAAATTGACTTATAAAACATAAATATTCAAGCCAAACTTTGTGGTGCAAGGGATTCCTGGCTGCTTTAGTATATCCTTAATTGTAATTTATCAGAAACAATCTCAATAAAAATGACTCATAAAAATTATTCAGCCAATTTAACAGCACTTTCTGTTATGCTGTAGCACGTTTCGGATGTTACATAAACTGTTAACAGACATTTTCATACTGTAACGAAACCGGTTCCTGTCGATGTTCTTCCCAGCAGTTTATCTTGTCAGGATGCCTCCTGCTGGCAGGTTTTCCCAGTCCGGTATAAATTTCGCCGTGGATCCGTTTGGCAGAGATATACTGCCCCGTTGACGTTGACACCACTCTGATATATTGCTCTGCACCACCTCTCGACCACCGTCCAGTCGACACTACCAGACCGTTTAATACAGGTCTGTACTTCACCACCGTCTACTACCAACCGTTGTACCGTCGTGTACCACCAGCCGACTAGGCCAGTCCGCTTCTGCACCTTTCAGACGTCTATATCAGTCTGCTTGTGCATGCAACTCCAATTGGCCGCACCAGTTTGCTTCATGCACCTTCCAGACGTCTATACCAGTCTGCTTGTGCATGCAACTCCAATTGGCCGCACCAGTTTGCTTCATGCACCTCCAAACAACCAGACCGTCTGTCTTTGTACAGTCAGCTTACTCGACCATGCCACTGGCTCTGCTACACAGTAGTCCCTACCAGCCGTCTTCTCACTGGACCACCGAAAGAGCAACCCCCGGTTTTGTCTAATACTAGAACGCAAAAGACCCAACAAACACAACCTAGATTCTGACCATGGTCGTCACCTAAGATCAGAAATCAATCTAAGGTTTCCTCATGGAAAGACATGCAAACGATCATATCAATCATTTCGTTTGCACGCAACTTTTAATGGGCAAAATATCCAAACGTAGTCTGATTACTTTACAGTGTAAATGTGCCCAGTGGGCGACGGCAATTATGTAGACTAAGACAGGAAACTCTCTGACAAGTGAGACACTTGATCTATATACACATTTATTAAGTATTTGTTATTCTCGTTGGGTTTCTAATATTTACATAAACATTGGTATAACTTCACTTTCCAATATCAGATCGAAATAAACCATATATCAAATGAAAGCACTAATTTAAATCTATAAAACTAAACAGGAGAGAACCAGTAATTATTCATGGTAAAAAAGTAATTAGACTAAAACCGTCGAAAACATGCACGATCAAACATTACTTGAAATTGACACGTGACTAAAGCATCGTATATTTAACTTGAGTTCCGCCATCTACGCCGAAACATAGCTATCTACGAAATAAAACCAATTTCGTGACACAACTCCCTTCTTTTTCTTAGCTCGGTCCCCGAGCGTTATCTAACAACAATTTACAAACTGGCATATAACACATTTACAGAAAATAACGTCCATGGCATTCGGATATCCTTCCCACCGGAACCAGCGGTTCTAAGTTCATGCAGTACTGACTGAATTGTTAATTCATTTCATTTCATTTTATTTCATTCGTCATATAAAAAACATACATGATTAAAACATTGATATTTACAGATAAGTTAAGTACATACAAATAACATAACGAAAGACAAACATAAAATACAAATATATATACGAATGAGGAACCAGCAAGAAAGAACATTTAAGTCTTGTGTGGGGCTGGTTCCTAGCGACAATTTTAACCTATAACACTTAACACCTAACACCTAACACATAACATCTAACACCTAACATCTAACACCTGGTTGCATATATCAAAACTAATACAATACTATTCACAAAAACGTAATTGTTTGTATCTTCTTTTAAATGTATTCATAGTTGGGCTTGAATAAACGTTAGGAGGTAACTCATTCCATAAAATTGGTCCTTTAAAGAAAATTGAATTTTTAGAGACAGAAGTTTTGATAAGTGGTAAATGAAAATGAGATGATGGTCTAGTTATATATGAATGTACTTCAGAATTTAAAAGAAATTTGTTTGATAGACTAGGAGGAATAATACCTTTATGACATAAAAACATAAATATAACAATATTATAGTCATTCAATTCAAATACATTAAAAAATTTAAAACGGACAAAAATAGGTTTTGTATGGGCTGAGGTAATACGTAATGCCTTCTTTTGTAATTTATATAATCTATTCATACAATAATCATTTGAATTTGCCCAAACAATATTGCAATAATTCAATTGTGATAAAAACATTGCATTGTATATCATTAATAAAATCTTATAAGGGAATTGTTTTAATTTGTATAAAATACCAACTACCTTCGAGAGTTTATTACAAATTGCTTCAATATGAACGTGCCATGACATTTTATAATCAATTTGAATTCCTAGAAATGTCAATGAACTACAACGCTGTACAACATTTCCATTAATCTTTACTTCAATATTATCAGTTCTAATGTTTTTGTTTGTAAAAATTATATAATTAGTTTTCTTTACATTTAAGATTAATTTATTAATATTCAACCATTGAGAAATGTTTTGAAG